TCGGGAAAAATACATAATATATAAATAAACAAATTGCATCCATCCCCCTCTCCTTTCTCCTCTCAAAATGTTTTCCATGCGTGCTTGCTTCTCTCTCTAAGCTGGCACAGTTTTTGGCAGCTAACTCATTATGCACAGAAAGCTCTGTTTGTTTTGCAGCTAGTAAATAAACTGCCAAAGAAGAGTCTGACAATCTGCAAACGTAAAAACAACTCTTGGTTGTTTACGGCCTTGGTGCTTATTTCAACATAAAACCGACCTGGGTTTTGTTTAAATCTATGTTTTTGGTTAGTTTTACTGGGTTTTGGCTTCTTGATCTTGTGGTTGGTATTCAACTGACCCCACTTGGGTACGTGAAGTCTGGCAGCTTTTTCCTTCATCAATTCAATTGCTTTTCTATAGCAAACTTGGGTCTCCTTGAGCTGGTTTATCCTCGATTCTTTTTGCTGAGTTTTACCGTGTATGTGTTCAAATTTTGGTGTTATACCAGTATTATTTAGTTTCGAAGAATTCGAGTTTGGAATCGTTACTGTTGTGCCTGCTTTCAGTTTATCTTGTGTGGGTTTTAGTTTTAGCTTAAGCCTTTCTGTTTTGATCGCTTTTTCTAGATTTAGTGGCCATCAATTTTTCAGATGGATTGAGTACTATAAAGTGAAGTAGAGATGATTTGAACTTCGTATATCGCTTTCAGTCTCTCTTTTACTATATAGGTTCGAAAGTTTTCTGCTCTTGTTCTAGTGGAAATTTTTGCTAGGTTGAATCTTGCTTCTCCGTTGAATTAGGGATGCTTTTGGGAGTGAAAATTAAATATTTGGAACTTGGTCTTTTGGTGAAGCTTATTCATTTTATTTCAAGTTCAGTTCTTTTTAATCGGAAAAAAATTTGTTTTGGTAGGAATTTCTGGGTTTCCTTCTAGTTAGGGGAATAGTTGAGTCAGATAGATAGAGTTGGGGGTGAAAGGCTGAAAATCATTTTGAATTGAGATTGAAAATGGAATCAAGAGTCGAGATTGATGAAGACAGTGAAACCAACAAAGGCAGCATGTGGGTTTTGGATCAAAAGCTTGATCAGCCTATGGATGAAGAGGCCGGGAGGCTTAGGAATATGTACAGAGAAAAGGTATGGCCTTAGAATCTACTTGCTGCTTATTGCAGTGAAAACCTCACCTAGCACTTATTGGGATGCATAAGTATTACTTGTATGAACTGAGTTTGGGAAAGTATTTACGAATTCAACTTTTTGATGTTCTTCCATATAATTATTCGGTCATTCTGTTATTTGCAAGTGAGGATTTTCATGGTGAATGTTACAGAATTAGTCTAGGAGTGTCCTTTGGTTCAGGTTCACTTTTATAAGGCACCGTATTACTGCTACTCTGACTGGTTTAGCAAGTTCTCATAGAGTATGCTTAATATGGATTGATTGAAAAAGAAAAGGATATGAAGGATAGTTGCAACTGCTTTTGTGCCTTGGATGTGCTTCCTTTTCTGATAAGGTTTGATTTGTGCAGAAATTTTCTGTGATATTGCTACTGCGGCTTGCATTCCAGAGTCTTGGAGTAGTTTATGGAGACTTGGGCACTTCTCCATTGTATGTATTCTACAATACATTTCCTCGGGGAGTTGAAGATCCAGAGGATGTGATTGGAGCTCTTTCCCTGATTATATATTCCCTCACTCTTATCCCGCTCCTCAAGTATGTTTTCATTGTTTGTAAAGCCAACGACAGTGGTCAAGGTAAGCCAATATTTTTTCATGGCCTTCATCAAAATTCTTTCCTTCTATGCTTAGTGCCATTTAAATAAAAAGGACTTTCCAGTACTACTTTTTAAAATAGTTTATGCTTTTGTCTACATCCACTCACTAGGAAATCTTATACTGAGGTAACAGATGCTACTGTTTCTGTAGACTTTGTTTGGAACAAATTAATGAATTTTGTGGAATTCATGTGAAGATCTACAATTAATTCATATATCAGAAACTAAAAATTCTACTACAATAGAATAAGGATTTACTTCTAAGGACATTTTAAACGGAATTGAGACAACATGTTTCAATTTCCATTCCATCATTTAATAGTTAAACAAAATACAACTTTGCTGATGAAATAAAAGAAGTTCATTTGTTCCAGACACACTTATGGTCTTGTTATCTTCAAAACCCATCACGAACTGCCTTATTCCTGAGAAAATTGGAGGGATATTATTTTTGATTAATTCCATATGGAGATTTAGTTATCAAAAAAAGGAAGAACTGAAAATTTTAATGTTGTTATGCTGCAATGAAGCAAAAGAGATTGATTATAAAATAAAAAACACCTGTACTACAGTGCTATAGAGTTAGTGGTGGTAAGTGCATTTTTATTTAACTACATTTGCAGAAACCTGCTTCACTGGTCAACATTTTACTTAACTTAAATAGTTCTTTCTTTCTCTCTCTTATTTTCTTAAAAATTATTTTTTTATATTCTAAATATCTGGCTTGTGATCAAATAAACTGAATAGAATACCTGGTAACACATTTTTTGAGCATTTTAGATTAGAATCACAAATGAAAGTTGTTTAATGCTCTTGCCTTTTGCATCTATAAAACTCTATGTCGAAAATGAACATGATATTATGCTGTATCATGTCCCTTACATCCAAAACAGTTTGAGTTTCATGCTATGTTTTGTTCAACTATTTAAATTTTATGTTCACCAGTGCTTGTAAGGTGCAGTATACCAATTTTTATACTGTGCTTGTGAGTTTTGTGTTTCAACTCTGATGAGCATCATAATATCAACCTTTCTTTGTGGTGCAGGTGGAACATTTGCCCTATATTCATTACTTTGCCGGCATGCAAAAGTAAAAACAATTCCCAATCAGCATCGCACTGATGAGGAGCTAACAACATATAGTCGTTCTACATTTCATGAACAGTCCTTCGCTGCAAAAACCAAGAGGTGGTTAGAAAGACGTGCATCAAGGAAAAATGCACTTCTTATTCTTGTCCTTGTTGGCACTTGCATGGTGATTGGTGATGGTATTTTAACTCCAGCAATTTCAGGTATGTCTCATATTCGACTCTTGTTAGGCCATTTCTGTTTTCTTTCTGTCCATCTAAAACCATCATGCTTTATGAAAAGATGTAGGCATACACTAAGAGAGCACACTTCCAATCTATAGAAGCCATAAGAAAAAGAGACCTTAGTTAAGATTTAGCCAGATAGACAGCATGTTAAACAATATCTTGTGGTTAATATTTCTTTGTTTTTCGCCAAATGCTGCGAGACACTTTAATAAATCTATCATATCTCAATCTTCCACTTCATTTTTTAGTACATGTCTTGTTCATATACAGCCTCTGAACATCCTTCACTATTCTGTCACCGATAGACCTTGAACAAGAACTTTGCTTGCAGAAAGCCCCTCTTTAAGCTTCTGGCTTAACTTGAATTGTTATCGGATCTATCTGGGTTTACATGACTGGGATAATACTTCTGTTTACTAGTTTTAGAAACACAAATTTTTATTCAAAAAAGAAGGAAGTAAAACATGCGTCCTTCTAGATAGGACACGCTTGAAATTTGATTTCTGTAACTGGAACTGAGATGAAGTGGAAAAAAGTAAGACTAAGGAATCCAGTATTCTCTGTAAATATTAGGGGTTTTATATTAAAATTTTCTCAAGAGCTGACACAGATTGATTTCTTTTTACATCTTTTGTTCTTTTCTCATGGGGTGGGAGGGAATAAGGTGCTCAGATGGCTTCATAGCATTCTCATCTAGTTGTGGTAGAGACAACTAAAGTTCAGTTAAATGATTACCTTGTCATCTTGTGAAAAAAAATTTTTCTTCAGTTTTTCCTAGTGGATGATTAAGATGCTATCTTTCGCAGTTCTTTCAGCTGCTGGTGGGATCAAGGTTGACCATCCTGGCATGAGTAATGGTATGCGATTATTCCAATAATACATTTTCAAATGTCTCAGGAACAGGACCATTTCTGTTGTATTGGGTCTTAATTTTCCACTGGCTTATTCTTTGTATCTAATTCTTGTTTTTTGCTATCTATGGTACAGGTGTAGTTGTTGTTGTTGCTGTTGTAATTTTAGTAGGCTTGTTTAGCATGCAGCACTATGGTACCGACAGGGTTGGCTGGCTTTTTGCCCCAATTGTATTGCTTTGGTTTCTTTTAATTGGAAGTATTGGCATTTTCAACATTTGGAAACATGATAGCAGCGTTTTGAAAGCCTTTTCACCTGTGTATATATATCGATACCTTAAAAGAGGAGGGAGAGATAGTTGGACTTCACTTGGTGGTATTATGCTTAGCATCACAGGTCATTTACTTCTTCCTCATTTTGATGGTTCCTTTACCCTTTTAAAGAAATTTAAACTTGGTTGGCATTTGTGGATTCAGAAATTCTTTTTTTTCTTTTTTCTTTTTAAATTACTACAGGGACAGAGGCACTTTTTGCTGATCTAGCCCATTTTCCAGTGTCAGCCATACAAATTGCTTTTACAGTAGTAGTATTTCCTTGCCTTCTTTTAGCCTACAGTGGACAAGCTGCATATATTATGAATAACAAGGAACATGTGGCTGATGCATTTTACCGTTCTATTCCAGGTTTGTTCTGATATTTTTGCCACAATAACTGAGGTCCTTTTCGGTGCATGAGGAAGTGTATAAATATAATGCTCAGCAAACTTATTGGAAGGGGCCTTGTCATCCTCAATATGATAACTAATTTATGCTGCTGACCTTCTCTTTTAGTATTCTTGAAGAAGAAAGTGGAAATGGGATTTGAAGCTGGCTCTTCTACTTTGCATTGTTGCTCTCAGTATACACAATGCATTTTAGAAATATCTGAACGTATATTGAAAAAATTATTTGAAATTGGTTCTTCTTGCTTTCAAGATAAATAATGCATTTTAGAAAAATGGTCAAGTATATTCAAAAGATTCTCTAGTCAATGCTATGAGTACCTAAGAATCTAGCCTATTTCTGGCAGAACCCAAAATCAGTCTTTACTGATGCCATTTGAAACTTCTGAGTGAAGGATAGAAGTTTAAAAATGTGCTAAGTAGCTTAAGAGGTAATTTTAATGTAGGAATCTAATGTTTTCTTTTCAGAGTTAACAAAGCTTTAACATTCTGTTTGGAGAAAAAATTTAAAAATCCCATGTTAAAAAATTAATGAGGGTCAATATCTACATCTTGAATGTGTAAGCGTGCATATTTGGAGGGTGCATTAGTTTATTAATTGTGTCATATAGTTTTAAAAAGAGACCTATGGTTTTATACAAATGCTGATAATCTCTCATTCTGCAGAGAGTATATATTGGCCAATGTTTGTTGTTGCGACTGCAGCCGCTATAGTTGCAAGTCAAGCTACCATCTCTGCAACTTTTTCAATAATCAAGCAGGCTCTTGCCCTTGGTTGTTTTCCTAGAGTGAAAGTTGTACATACATCAAAGAAGTTCCTTGGTCAGATATATGTTCCAGATATTAATTGGATCCTTATGATTCTTTGCATTGCTGTGACTGCCGGATTCAAAAATCAAAATCAAATTGGGAATGCTTATGGTAAGTTTATAATCTTTTGAATTTTGTGAAGTTTGTTGATGTCACAGAATCTTGTGATTAATGCTAACCCATATGGGATATGACAGATTAGAGGAAATTAGGATTGAGAAGCAGAACAAGAGGAATGTATAGACAAAATATATTATCAGAGGGGAAAGAGAGAGAGAGAAATAAAAGAGGTGAAAACTGAAGAAGCTGACGGAAGATATTATTGTACTCAATGTGGTCTCTTTTTGAACTCAACTTGTCTTGGTGTTCAACCTGTTGGGGGTCTGTTTTGGCTCCTTGCTTGGGAATAATGTGTCCCAAGTATTCGATCTCCTTTTAGGCATGTGTCCCAAGTATTCGATCTCCTTTTAGGCAAAGTAACATTTAGATATCTTAGTATAGAGCTGGTACTATTTCGGTTAAGTAAACACAAAATGCTGTTTGTGCTGTTCCATAAAGGGACTGTACACTAGAATGTCTCCAAAAGATGTAAGGACAAACACCCTCAAATAGGCCTCGAAGATATGATTCATGAGGGCCTGAAATGGGTCCGAAGCATTGGTCAAGCTAAGGGGCATAACAAGGACAAACACCCTCAAATACACCAAGGACAAACACTCTCAAATATGCCTAAAAAATATGATCCATGAGGGCTTGAAATGTGGCCGGAGTATTGGTTAAGCCCAAAGACATAATATGAGGTCCTTGGTTAAGCCAAGGATAAGCACCCTCAAATACACCTCAAAGATATGATTCATGAGGGTTTGAAATGTGGCTGGAGCATTAATTAAGCCAAAGGACATAACAAGGACTTTATTATTCCATGATGTGTCCTAAAAGCTGTTTTATAAACATTCTCTTTCACATGTTTGATGATACTTGGATCTCAAAGTCAATTTTTTGAAAATACCGCTACTTGTATAACTCATAAAGAGAATCATTAATAACTGAAATTGGCAACTTGTTCTTAAATGTAACTCTGTTGAGCTCTTTATAATCAACGCAAAACCTTTAAGTGCCATCCTTTTTCTTCACTAATCTGACGAAGATGCAAATGGAGAATGACTAACGCAGATGGTTAAAGCGTCTAGTATTTTCTTCACTTGCTGTTCAATTTCCTGCTTTTGGAAGTAAGGGTATAGTAGGGCCTTAAGTTCATTGGGGAGCTTCTGGCCGCAAGGGGTATGCCATGGTCCAAAGTCATAGAAGGTGATAATCCTTTAGGCTCGTGAAAAATATCTTAAAATGTCTGCGATGCTTAGTCCATCAGATGTCCCTTTCCATGGATGCATTTCCATTAGGCAGATCTGTGGGTGAGCCTTCCATGGACCAAAGGCAGTTCACCATTCCTGTACTATGGTCGCTTCCCTTTCTTGACATTGTTTCAGCCTTTCACCAGTCAGTTTAACTAACCTGTCGAAACTTTTATCCCACGCAATATCACCTTTTATTTTGAAGATAAGTTAGGTTCCACAAAATAAAAAATAATGGGGCTGTACAGCCTCATCCAGTCCACCTCTAATATCACATCAGAACCGTCCAATTGAATGACACTGAAGTTGCAGAAAACATATAATTCTACATCCTCCCTTGCACCCCAGTGCATTCTTCTTCACTAGTCACCTTATGACCATTTGCCACTACCACCACGAGAAACCTGTTATTTACTGTCTTGTTTTTCAATCCTTTTGCTACAGCAGTATCCATAGAAGGACTAAGAAGTCCTATTATCTAGAAGTATCAGGACAACCCACTTTTCTAGTGATCCTTTGATCCTCACGGTTCCCCTTGTTGATAGGTCTTCAGTGGCTTGCAAAGAAAGGGTTCTCGTGTCATCAAGAGCTTCCTGGTTCTCCTTTTTTTTTCTTTCTCTTCTTCCTCCTACATTCCTCTATAGCCATAACTGTTTTGTTCGTATACTAATGCCCCTGAAAGTATTTCTCTCCACACTGATAGCATGAGTTACTATGTCTGCCTTCCGGAGGGTTGTGGGTTGTAGCTTTCTGGAGTTTTTAGATGGTAGTTGATTTATGGTCCTTGTCATGAAGTGGTTGGTGTGGATAGGGAGAATTTCTGGGACTAGTTGGTCAAAAATGTGTTTTTGGGCTGTAAGCAAGAGAAGATTGGTGACCAACCGAGCTATGGCGATACATATCCTCCATGGATTGTTCTTGCCACAAGGCCAACTCGAAAGCATGGTTTAGGATGAGAGATATCTGTATTCTCAAGGTGGGTCATAACTCTTCTTTCAACCCACATGAAGCATAAAAATAAAATATACTATTTTCGGTAATTAACAATGACCTCATCTCCTCAAAATTTTCCTGGTAATTAGGTACTGAATCCTCTTGCACAAATTTATTGGATTCCTCCACCACATCAATTCCTGCCAACTCTCCAAATCTTCTGCATAACTCATCTATAAACATACCCCAATCTACCTGTCCAGCGGGCTCGCCCACCAGTGAAACCAAACTTTGGCCTTATCTCCTAAGTACAAGGAGGTTGTTTTTACTTTGTTCTCTTTAGCTATGTTAATCACTTGGAAATATTTTGGGCAAAATCTAATCCAAACTCTTAGTTTTTGACCTTCGAAGTTGGGAATCTCCACCTTTGGTATGGGGGCCTCCAACGGGTTATTCTATGGGTTTTGTGCACTACTTCCCCCAACTTCACGGTATTTTGGAGTTGGAAAAATACCCTGCTCATAGGTTTGGTAGGGAGGAGAATGACTTACCAACATAGTCGATTCTCCAGGCCATGCTCCTCTCTGCAGCATCTCCATTAGCTGTTTGAAATGCTAGTCAGTGTGCGCTTTTGTCTTGCGCTGCATTTCATGCATCTCTGCCATAAAGTCTGACAGCTTTTGGTCCACATCTGACACATTGTCATCTAGTTGTTGTCATTTTTTTTTTTCATTTACCACATCCTTTCCCGTATTCATAAGCGGCTTGTTGGAATCATAGGCTCTGATACCAAGTTTTCAGGAGCCTTTAACATGTATACCAGTAACAATTTAGGTTGTGAGAATATATGAAGGAATTGATGAGATGAATATATAAAGGGAGAGAGACAACAAGTAAGAGGAGAGAATGAGAGAGAGAAATTTGTCAAGAGCTGCTAAATTAGATAAAATTCTGATAACATTCATCATACTTGAGAAATCAGGCTACATAGGTAATATATTATTCCTCTACCAGTCTCTGGCAAGAAATTCCAAACACAATAAAATGGTTATAAGAGAAAAAGGAATCCATAACTAATTTTATTGAGTCAAAGAATCTGTTTTATTCCTTACTCAAACCTGGACCACAAGCCACGTCAGATTGCCCTTGTACACCATTAGGGGTTTGTTTACTCTATTCTCAAGCCGATTTTTCTTCTCTTAAGTCTTTGTCGTGACATGAGATTTGGTGTATATGGGATTTGAGAGCTCTTGAATCTCACCTGTCCATGTAATCTCTCAAGTTCATAATGAAAAATTTCCATTATGTTTGTCTGTGAACTAGACTACTAACCTGAGCTACGATAAGTTCTGTGTTTCCTTTTTTGCATGTATGCATCTTGATTAATTTCCTGTTGCGTGGTAATCACCTACAATTGGGACAATTATCTCAGTAACTTGGTATGAAAGTCAATCAATTGGTATCGTGTTATGATATATTACTATTTTTTTTGAGTTCTTATTTTAAATTATTTTTCCTTGTAGTAAGGAGTTTACGCCAAGTTGAGTCGTTTGTAGTTCGAATTTGTTTAAGTACTCCGTACTTGTTTAATTTTATTAGAGGGAGGATTAGGAGAGGCTTATAGGTAAGCATATATCCATATAAATGCTTGGTAAGTCAAAATTTGATGTACAGAATAAATCTATTAGAGAGAAATTGTTGATTTTGAAGAAAAATATAAACTTTATTTCTCACATTTTAGGTTGTTACGTTGGGGGTATTTATAGAAGAGTTAATTTATTAATAAAAAAATTCTTATTTTACTAGAATTCTAACTACATAAGATTATTATTTTAATAAAATTTTAATTACATAATTTTAATTAATTAAATAATAAATTAATTAAATAATAAAATATTCTATTTAACACCTCCCTTCAAGTTGGTGCAACGATATCACATATGGCCAACTTGCAGATCAAGTTGCAAACTAGTAGCGGACGCGCGCGGAAGAGTCAGAAAAAGGACCAGAAAAGGTTGGTCGGAGTAGCTCGCGCGCGGAGAAAGCACATATGTGCTGGATCGCGAAACTAGAGGTGGACACATGCGCGGAGAGACTGGATCCGAAACTAGAGGCACACACACGCGTAAGAGCCGAAAAAGGACTAGAGAAGACTGGTTTGAAGCGGCTTGCGTGCGAGAAGGCCTATTTGTGTGCAGACATAGCTGGAAAGGCAGAGAAGAAGACGGTTTGTGGCGGCAGGTTCGGGAATATCAGGTTCGAGAGGGTCTGGCG